TATGGTTTTTAGACAGTCTTTGATAGGAGAGGTAATTTGCAATAGGATGTTTAATGCAATTTCGGACACCTTTCCTAATTGCTATAGGAACATCAAGGTCGGAAATAGAAGGAATAGGATTACCTAAAATTTCGATGCCAGAACATTCGGGTCATTAGGATGGACATTCGGGTCATTATTCCTCAGATGAAATCGCTTCCTAGTATAAACCTGAAGCTCAGGATTTAGATCATTTTGTAGTACTTCTCCCCCTCCACTATCATATTCTATACATGCCACTATCTACCACCAACACCACTATCATATGCCACTATCTTATTATATGCATTAACACAAATTTCCAGCACATATGATATCACTATATAATTATTATTAGGAAAATGTGGCGCGAGTAAAAGGAATTGTATCTCCACCATCCAAAACACAAATTATTTTGTTAGCTACACATCCAAACACTGCCTTATTCGTATGCTTCATAACAGATGTTTTCAAATAGGGATTTGGATCCAAAACACACCGGATGTTCAACTGCATAGGCTAGCTAATGGTCAATCACTCTCTCTCTCTCTCTCTCTCAAAAGATGAGAGACTTTGAAGATAATATTTTATTTTATTGAAAAAATAAACTAATTTGAATGCAATTGTTGGTTGCAACCAATTTCCAAGCAACTCCTCAATCATTCAATAAATATAAATAAAACACATTACCAAATAAGTACATTGTTTACATATATATACTAGTTAAAAAAGGCCCGTGGCACGGGATATTATTACGGTATATTTAAGTTTGTATTTTAATAATTTTTTAAACATAAGAATATTGTTCTATGAAATTGAGTAGAATAAATTATTAGATATATGATAGAATTATATAAATTGTATTATAAATAATAAAAATTAGGAAAAATTATAATAAGTCTTATAATTTTAATATAATTATACTTTTTTTTCTTTGTCAATAAGACTAACATTTTAAGGAAATCCAATATAACTATATCAAATTTGTATAAGTTAATATGTTTTTAACACATAAGTCTTTGTCCATGATCACTTGTGCTATTGTTTAAATTCATATCAACTTCAAATAGTCACCAAACTAATTATTTAATATTGTTTTGTTTTATCTTAGTGTCATTTGGGTTAGTTCATTTTGTTATTCAATACTTATTTGATGTGATAAGTTTCATCAGTGTTGTTCAGTCACTGAAATGAAAGTGGAATGGAATAGTCAATTGAAATGTTAATTATCACATATAATGCAAAATGTATTGAAAATAGATTCTTATTCACTATTATAAGGAAATGGTCATTCTATCGGAAGATTATTGAATGATTATTCAACTTTTATTAATTGCGACTTATGATTTTGAAACTGATATGTCATCCTTTGAAATTTTTAATTGCATAACAAATAACCTATTTCATTAATTAACCAATAAGTTAATTAATAGTTTTTAATGATGTCATAAATATATTTTAATTAATTAGTTTTGGTAATTTTATTGTTGTATAGGAGAGTAATTAGGAGGTTTATTTTTTTTGTTAAATTTGGTAATTTGTTACAAACCTAACGTTATAGAACTCAACTCCCTCTTCACATTGTTGGAAAATGTTTAAGATATCGAAAAGTTCACACAATTTGATCTATAATTATATGGTATGATATGTATCGTTTTTTTTATTTGTTATGCACCCAATGATGTAGACCCCAATTTTATTACCATATCAATATTGGTGAATTTATGAGTCTTTAGCATTTCTTCTGAATTTATAAAAAAAAAATTATAGTATGTAGCTTTTCTTAATAGAAAAATATAAAATAAATACAAGACAATTCACTGAAATAATAAAGAAGCAGAAACAATATAAACAGTCAAAGTCAAAGATGAAACAAATAGAAATAAATAGAATATTCACAATAAAAGGGGTAATTTCAGTATGGCGATAAAGCAAGCCTTCTCTAGTCTAAAATTTTAAAATAACAATTTGAAAATAATTTTTTTTTAAATTTGATCTCATATTCAATGCTTAATTTTTTAACCACAAGCTTTTCAATTTAATAAAGAGTTAATTACCTAAAAATTCTATTTACAAATATTATGGTAGCTCAAGTTTTATCTAAAAAATTTTGAACTAATAAATCCTATTTAGTAAAATTGATAATATTATCAGTTTTTTCTAATTTTTAAAACTAAAAACATTATCAATTTTACATAGTAATCTTTTAGATAATTGTTTCACTAACTGAGAAAAAAAAAAGCATGAGATTAAACGTTTTTACCCTTCTACTTATTGGTTTGATTAAATTATATAATAAAACCGAAAATATTAACAGTTTTTTCCAATTTCAAAACTGAGAACATTATTAGTTTTTTTTAAAAAAAAAATTTTCAGTTTTGTATATCAATGTTCCACCATCATGTTCCTTTTATAGACACAAAATTTTTAGTTTTGCACAAAAATAAATAAATAAATAAATAATCAAATTTTTCAAATTTTTTTTTTTGCACATAGTTTTTTTTTTTTTTTAATTTGAAAGTTGATACTTTAAAGTTTTAAAAATCAAAATAAATGTCAAATCATCATGTTCCTTTACAGATAATCAATATTGATGAACAATCATTATTTGAAGGGCAATTCCGACTATTAAAAATATAATGGGACTTGAAATTCTAAAAAATCCTAATTAGAACTTAATGGAATATAAATTCATAAATTAGGACTTGTGTGTAAATGCTCATTTAATAAATTTATCATTTAGTTTTTAGTCTTTAATTTTCAACTTTCAACTTTCAATTTTCGATTTATATAGTGTTTGATCTTATTTTTGTGTTTTTTTATTTTGTAAAAAATTCAACTATGCTAAAGTTAAAAAGAAATTATTTGACATATAGAAAAACTAATTTAAAAAATGAAATCTTACATTCAACAATTAAAACAAGTTAAATGAATCAAGTTTGAACAAATTTTGAAATTGGTAAAAGTTTTCAAATCAACCTTGAATAGTTAGATGAACCAAGTTTGAATAAATTTTGGAATTCATAAAAGTTTTCAAACCAAACTTGAATAGTTAAATGAACCAAGTTTGAATAAATTTTGAAATTCATAAAAGTTTTTGAACCAAACTTGAATAGTTAAAATGCTGATAAAAAATACAATTAATTTTTTTTTATACGTATTTAAGAGTTTCAGGTATGAGTTCAGATTCTCTAAAGTAATTTTGAAATTGTTTTTATATAATTGGTATTTAATCATACGAAAATTGAAGATACAGTAATTGAAAAGTTAAAAGTGTAACAACCATATAAATAATCACTCTAGCATCACTTTTTAAAAATAAATAAACTCAAAAAAATCTCTCATTTTGAACTATTAGGTTAATAACAATGAACCAAAATTTTTACATAATTTTCAAAAACCCACCATCCCAATTATTTCACTGGTGATTATTAGATAGTCCCAGAATATAATCACGTGGTACTCTATAGTATTGTGATTAGTGAAGAAGGTGGAGTATTATGATTTTGTGTTGGGTGATTGAAGAATATGAGAGAATATAATGAATAATAATTAGTGAGAAAATGTGGACACGTGATACTTTAAAAGTACCTAATAATTTTTTTTATTGTACCAACCAAGCTAAAGGACAAAATAAGAAATTCAAAAATAAGTTAAGGGCAAAATAGGTAACCAAAGACAACTTTCTCAACCAAAGCAACCAAAATTTACTGCATAATTTCCAAAATGCCACCACCTAAATTGTTTCACCAACCAACCACTGATGAAGGACTCCTCGAAAAGTTAAGGATTAATAATCCTTTTTTAAAATCGAATGGATTCGGTCTTATACATAAGCAAGAAAGGTAATCAAAAAAGAAAGAAGATGAGTTCTTCTTTCTTTTATCACTTAAGAGTCGTGTGAGATGAAAGTCTCATGCATGAGAGAAAAAAGTGAGGAATCCTCTTCTTTTCGACTTTGACTCTCCCGCTTCAGTCGTTGCTTTTAATATTAGATATATGGTAGAATTATGTGGTCTGATATGTATCATTTTTTGATTTATTAGATCATCTCCAATGATTTATTAATTATGTCATCAACTTTGGATTTGATGAAAAAATAACATTTTTTCTATTCTAATGGTTTCATCAAATGAGTATCAAATCGAGGATATCAAGAATCTTTTATCAAATTGAGGACTCCTGAGAGCTTTTAACAAATGACCAATTTTATTAATAAGTAAATCAATATTTTTTAATGATATGAAAAATATTTTTCGGTTAACTATTTTGTTAATAAATAAATTATTAAGTTAATTAACAGTTTTTAATGATATGAGAAATATTTTTCAATAAATAATTTTAATAATTTATTATTGTATAGGAAAATAGCTTTTTTTTTTCCTCAAGTATCGTGTTAAATTAAAATTTATAACAAACGATAGTTATAATTTCTAATATTATTAGATCGATTCATATTTTAAACAAATTTTATGAGTGTATTTGTAATTTTTTAGAAAATATAAAAAATTATGTTTCATAATTGACCAAGAATGTTTGCATAACTAAGAAAAAAACTTGTTTTATAATTGACCAAAAATATTCACGTCATTACAGAGAAAACATGATACATATAATTGATCAAGAATGTTTGGGTAATTACGAAAAAACATTCGCTCAACATCTAGGCCATTATTAATAAATTATTCAAAATAAAATGACAAAATTAGAAAGAGAAGATGAATCTCAACAAGCTAAGCGGTTTATATATATATAGATATATAATTTGACTAGAGATTAATTAGATATATCATGAAAATTATTTGACAATAAAAGAAAATTCTAAAGTAATTTTTTAGTTTTTTGGTCGATTCTTGGAAGTAATTCTGCTCTTAAGATTTTTTATTTTTTATAATTTTTTTTTATTTTTTTTATTTTTTTATTTTTTTGAAGAAAATAAATTTTAACACATTCTTCATTTACACCCATTTTTATTTGTATAGGATTGGGGCTGGGTTGGTTAGGTTATTCGGATAAAGCCCACCCGAATTCTCCATTCCGATTATTCGGCCTAAATAAGACTCTCGGTTGTTTGTGTGTTTGGTTACCGTGATTCTTCAAGAAATCAGAGCAAATCGCAGAAAGAAAGAAAGAGGAAGAAAAAATGATTTACCGTAAATGGAGTCTGTTAACTGGCCCAGCTGCGATTTTGGGATCAATCGTGGCCACTGTGGTCGTCGCCAACTTTATCTTCGTCCAAAATGTATGTTCTCTCTCTTACTGTGATTCAATCAATCCCTAGATTTATGAAATTGAAGAACTGTAAGTGTGATCCAATTGATTTGCATCTTCTGGAGCATTAGTTATTCCTCTTTCTTTCAAAGCTTGTTCTGTTTCAGGTGATTTACTCAGATCGAGAAAATTAGGGTTTTGTAATTTTTTAGTGTTTTGGATTACCAAATTGTGATTTGATTTTCGATTTTTTACACTGTTCTCTTTACTCAGTAATATTGAAGGATTGATTTGTGTGGCAAGATGGGTTATGTTGTTTTAGGGTTTCCTTAATTTGATTTCAAGAAGATAAAGTTAGGATTTTTTGGGTTTACCATGCTTTAAGCTATAGTACCAAGTCAACATAGTTCGTAAAGGGAGCTTCGTGGAGTTGATGAAATTCAATCAGCTGGGTGTTCCATCACAACATTATTGTTAATATTTATGGTGGTTCATATAATTCAATGTTTTCTCTGTTTCAGTAACGTTGTCTCATTAAGAAAAATAGGGTTTTGTAATTTATTAGCATTTTGAATTATCAAATTGTAATTTGATTTTTGATTTTTAAAAGTGTTCTTTTTAACCATTAATATTGAAGAACTAGAGTTGTGTAACAAGATGGGTATATTGTTCTAGGGTTTCCTTAATTTGGTTTCAAGAGGATAAAGTTAGAAATTATAGGTTTAACAATGCCTTAAACTGTAGTAACAGTAAAAAAATGTTTATAAAGGGTGCTTTTTGGAGTTGATGAAATTCACTCAACTGAGTTTGCCATTATAGATAGAAAAAGTTGGAGATAAATCCTTCCACACATGCCATATTAGGATTTAAAAAAATGGCTTCAAGCTCAGCAAGTTGATAGCTAGATTAAGAGTGCAATTCGCTTTGTGTGCTTTCCCGCTAGTCTATTTTATCTATACTTGCTGTGTCAATATCTATCTATCGCACTTGTTGCATAGTACTTGTACTGTGGGTCATTATTCGGTGATAGAAAATGTGCCTGATTTAGGTAACTCAAGTCAACAGAAATCAATACATCCCAAAGCAATTGCCCTACTTCTATGTATTGTGGTTCAAGTTTAGTGTTGGCATTGGCAATTGATTTTGCATGCTCCCTTACTAGGCATGATGTCTAGGTTTGAGATTTATCACTGCGAGTGTATCTTCCATTTCCCTATTTCCATCCTATCGATCGAAAAAAACAAAAGTTTAGTGTTAACATTGACGATTGATTTGCTAGATTTTTTGTAACCCTTGATGAATCTTCCTTTAAATTTATATAAAATTGGCAGAGAAATCTATTTTTATGTATTGGACGACAAAATTATAGTATTCAGTATGTTGAGTGATTCTATATCTTTATTTTTGGTGCAATTCTTCTCTCAATTTTATCTTGTTAACTACATCTTGTTCCCAAAGTTGTTTATCTAAGCCTAAAGCATATGTTTTCTCCGTTCTTAGTGAGAATCAAAGAGCATGAGTGTGTGAAGCTCTTTGAGTTTCCGTTTGTTATGCTTACTTCATTCTAAGTGGTGTTGAAATCTTGCAGAAAGCCCAAATCTCCTGTCAGTTCCTCCCCTTTGTACCTCTTTATTGGCTAGCTGAACCATACACCCAATCTAACATTTTTTTTTGCATAATTTTGAATTTGCAGGACCCATTCCTTAAACCAGAGCCAAGGAAGCAAGATAACGATTCCTCAACCAAGTAGGAAAATGTGAGAAATAAGTGACTTGAATGTGATCAAAACTGTTTCAGGTTTTATGTTGAGCATGCCATTCGCAAACTTATGCTTTAAGTTGTTGTGTTGGACATAATAAATTGCATAAAATTTGAATAAGAAGATATTTTAATCTATTCTGCAAATTCTCTTCTGGATCAGGAGTATAGTCGTTTTCTCTCGTCGGTGGTTGCTGTTCTTTATTCCTTTTTATTGTGTTGATGTTGTTGTGATTGGTTGTTTATAGAATTTTTGGTTGTGATTCGCATCGTTACATGAGTCCCATTTGGTAGAGTTGTGAGAAAGTGATTATAACTTATAACCTAATAGCTTATAGCTTATAACTGTGAACATAAACTGATTTTTGACATATAAATTAAGCTTCTTCTCCCCCACTCAAAGAATAAGTTGATTTTTGATTTATAAAAAGTTATAAGCTGTATTGTTAAGCTGAACCAAACATATCAAAATAGCTTAAATTAAGCTAAAAACTAAAATAAACTAGAAATAAATCCTACCAAATAGGGTCATGGTTATTATTGTCTTTGAATGCCCTCATACTCAAATCTTCGTGGTTTTGATCTAATCCCATATTCTTACATGTTGTTGATTACTTAGTTATATACAATTCAACCCAGTTCACTTTTCTCTTTCAATCTCTGTAAAGAAATTTTACAGAACGGATCGGATTACAGCTGTGCCCTTTTAAGTTTGTGTTTATTCAGATCTTTCAGATTCACTTGACTCTGTCCATTTTCATATTTCAAAGTTCAGATTAGCATGATGAACAAATTCTTGAGGTTGGAGGATAAGTTCTGCAGATGTTTCAGTTCTCTCTCCTGTTGATCTGGTGGTGGAAGTGGTGCCATGTGTCGTCCATTTATTGGTGTTTGATCCCTTGCCAATTAAATTAAGAACAGTGCTATATGTACTAATTAGTGTACTAACTAGTATACCAATTGATGATGTGACATAATTTAAGATGTTTTTGGTATTTGTAATTTTTATGATGAGTATGGTCAATAATAATGTTATAACTAGTGTTAGTATACTAGTTAGTATACTAATTGATACATGTAGCACAACCGTTAAAAAAACTAATAAAAAAATACTTCTTATTTTTTTTTCATGTTTGGATCACCACCAATTTTTTGGAGGAAATTAAGTTTAGGTTTTCATAGGTAGATTTATTGTCCAATAATTCCTATAATAATTAATGGTTGTTTTTAACAAATATTATTAAAAAAGTTATTAATTGTTAATTTTCAGTGACAATTTAAAATTTTTGTTACAAAAAATGTCATTAATTATAAGTTCTAGCAACAGTTTAAAAAATCGTCACAAAAAAAATGTCATTAATTTTTAACTTTCAGTGGCAGTTTGAAAATTTTATAACAAAAAAAATCACTAATTATAAATTTTAGCGACAATTCATAAAATCGTGATAATAAAAAGTCACTAATCATTAATTCTTAGCGATATCTAAAAAATTATCATAAAAATTTATTTTTAACGGCGATTTTATTATTGACTTATTTTTAATATGACCTATTAGTAGTTTATTCTAATTTTTTTTTTTTTTTTTGGTCTCTGGCAAGTTTAGTCACTCCCCTAGCAAAAACGGGAATTTGATTTTTAGTTCCGTACGAACAAAGAAACCAATTATACAATCAAACACAAATGATCCGTTGAACCAAAAATAAGTTTATTTAGATAAGGAAGAAAAATCACTTTTAAAAGGTGGAACGTATCATATCACCACCACCTCCACCTCTTCACCTCCTCCATCTCCACCACCCCACAACCATCGCTTCGACCACCCTATCACCGCCATCACTGCCACTGCGCTACCACAGCTATCACACTATTGCAACCTGTAAAAGACTAGTTTTAATGTCTTAATCAAAGGAAAAAGTTTTCTATTGAACACAATTTGCTGTAGGAAAGCATTTTACCTTTTTGGTATGCATTTGAACTTCAAGAAATGGAGAGAAGAACCAAATAATCATATCCACTTACGGACTCAACAAAATATGAATTCTATAAAATTGATTAATCCAAACATTAATCTTACACCGGTTGCAATTTAACACCAGAAAATAATCATTCTTACAAAACCCCCCAAGATTAAACATCATCATACTCTTGCAGAGAGAAATCAAAAACTATATATACCTCTAGTGAATTTGTTTTCTACATTGTTGGTATAGATGTGATCAAATGAAGAACAACAGTATATTTTTGATGTATAGCCACTCCTCTGCTTTCCTTCTTGCAAGCTTCAATGGTTCAGTGGCTTCAATTGCAACCCAACCTATGCAAATTATGTCCCCTTCCCTCCTCTTTCCTTCTGATCATTAAGATCACAATAATCCCACAATTTTGAAAAAAACTTGAGAATCGAAGGCAAAAAAACAGTTGATTCATCTCATCAACATTCTCAACCACTGAACAACATTTTCATTACCAACTCATTCCATGAATCTATGGGCCCGGGCAAGCACCAATGCAAGCAATCATTCTGAACTTTTATATTTTTACCCTCAGCAAACGGATGAAACTGCCGGTATGGTCCTGGGTGCCCATCCGGTCTCAACAACGAAAGATGGGTTGTGTCCAATAGTTTCAAAGTCGTCCCCTTTTCAGACCCTATTGCCACGGCCTTCTCAAATTCTTCTAACTCAATGTTGTGCATTGTCGTGTCAACGGTGCTTAAATCAACCTCGCCTTCTTTAAATGGACCGGTTCTATTGCAGTAACCCCCACTAAACCACTCTCCATTCTCGAAGTGGTCCGGTGTGGTAGTTCTGAAGAACACATACGCTTTGTGGTTTGAACTCGTGACGAAGTTAAAAATTAACTGTAGTGCTTTGCGATAGGCGTGATCATATCCTAACTCGGTCAAATTCTTACCCGGGCAATAATGGCACCCTTTGATCGTGTTATTCTCATAGTAGACCGCTGTTTTCAGAAACCATTTCCCACCAGCAATTATCACATAATCAAAACTGTTGTATTGTTGGGTCCATAATGTGTCGAGTTTGTCAAGATGAAGTTGAATGTCAGCTGATGAAACTCCATTCATGTCTTCAAAAACAGCGGCTTTCAGGAGGAAAGGGTTCCAAATTACAGAAAGAGTGAAGTTGTGAGAGCGAAAATGCCATTTTTTCGATCTGTACTCCTTGTCATGGTAGACCATAACGGCTTGTTCCGCCTGTAAGGAAAATTTAGTAACATTTCATCAATTGCACCATTCATGCTACCATATCCTTGTTGAACAACACAGTATAATGCTATGAACCATGGTTTTAAATAATGGTATTGAGATACATGTCTATATCAATGACAAACATTTATTAGTTGATATCAGATGGTATGAGGATTGTTCTATTTGTTAAATAAAAAATAGAAAAAGAGAGAAAAAAAATCACCTAGTTTTCAAAGCATACTTAAGGCTTACAAAATTGCAAGCAAATTTATTTGAAATGTCGTTTTGTTCCCCCTTTTATTTTGGTTATGAATTGTTACTATTTCACCAACCCATGCAATGGTACTTCTCAAGGTACAATTAAGCACAACATGGGCTATAAATTCCATTTCAAATTGCAAATAATAGGACCTGTTTTTTTAAATAAATAAATTGTACTTAGTACACAAGTCTCCTGCTAATACAACAATGTCAAGGAGAGGTGGTAGGTGGGCAAATACAACAATGGTGAATAGATAGTATCATAATTAAAATTTTTCCTGAAAAATTTCTGAAGCTAGAGAATCCTTCACGTCCAATTAAGTAAATGTATGTGCATCCACACACACAAATATACCCAGAAAAAATAATATACGGTTCAGATTCAACTCTTATAGAGTGGAACCCACATCTTAAATGAATCTAGACCATACATTAAATTTTCTAGGTATGTTAGTGTGCACGGATTCTATATATGGTAAATTTACTTCACAAAACATTGTGTATTAAACGAAATAGTTTCTACATTCTTGTTTTGGAAGGTGAGGGTTGGAATCATATTGATGATGGCAAGTGTTTAATTGGTAGTAGTTGCTTACAACTCACAACAATCTGTACTATAAAGTTATAACTTATCATTGATTCAGACCAGGCAACAACAATGTGGTTCAGCCATAATCAGAAAAATACTGGAGAAAACAAAAGAAACTGAATCAAAATTCAAAATCTTGCACAAGGTGATTTAATATGAAAATTTATTTTTTGAGAGTGACTACCCAACCACTTAAAAACAAGGTGATCTAACCATAAAAGAGGCATCAATCACAGCTGGTGGAAGCTCATCATTCTCTAGATGACCTAGTAGCCGGTACTGAAAGAAGCCAATGGAAGACAGTGCACAAATATTTTTTTTTTAAAAGTTAAACTGTGTACATCTGACCCTTTCCAGATCTTACAAAAGGGGGTACTGGGCTGCCCCTTTTTATGCAATAAGGTTTGGGACACAACCCTAAGGGTCTCTCAAAAACAATCCTCAGAGGTAACACAAGGCAATACAAAAATGCAACCCAGCCAACGAAGAAAGTAAAACCCTCACTGCCTGAGGCACTAGGCTATAACACAAAGAACACAAACATAAACAACAAACCGCAACTAACCAGAACACTCCTCGCAACCCAAGAGGTTATGCATACCTACTTGGCAATCAATAGCGGTCTAAGGTTTTTTGAGACTTCAAACTAAACATCACATTGATGCCTTATTTTTCTAGGCCTTTGAAAATTTGAGGTCTTTGATAATAAGAATTTTTTAACATTTTTTTAGTAGATTTTTACGAGACAGACTAAGTGGCCTAATGGTTGAGTCACCTCTGCTGCAATTATGACATTAAAAACTGTAACAATACTACATTAATGTCTAGCTTAAAAAACAAGTTTATTTAAAGCCTAAATCAACAAACAACATTATGATGTCCCCACTAGTTCCATTGCTGTTAAAGTAATAAATTAAACAAAAAAAACAAAAAGAGAGAAGAGGAAGAAGAAGAAGACGATAATTTAGTGGCTAATCTATATTACTATGAGTTATTGCATCATAGTGAAATTTGAAATGTTACCTGTGACAGACTGCAAAGCAATGACTGCACATGATTACGCGAAATTGAATCACCAATGAAGGCCCATGATTTATTCGTCATCAAATCCAGAAACCTCTGTGGATCAAACTTTGGTAACTCGCAATTCCGTGGCTTCCACCTCCAGTAAAGATACTTTGAATCAGGGCGGCCATTATTCATGCAATTTTGATGACCTTCGATGTCCTGGCAGCTCTCGTTAGAGTAAAATGGACCGGAGGGATCCAGAATCCATTGCCCCGTAAATATATCACATTCTGCTGTGACTATCGATGGTGTAATTGAATGAATGTTAGTTTGGCACAAATGACAACAGAGGAGAGAGATTATAGGGGATTCAATACAATGGATCAAACAAAGATATCAAAGGGTATATAATTATATTGATATCAAACTTAAAACACCACCAACTAAATAGAAAGAAGTACTATTACACATATACTTGAATTTGTGAAGGACAGAGTTTTGGACCCTTTGTGCAGGCTACAGAGTGATGATGATTTTCATTTGCAGACCCAGAAAACAAGCCAAGTCAAGCCGATAAGTAGGCAGTTCAAGTCAAACTAAACAAACTTTGACATGAGTTCTAGTTTGGAATTTTTTTTCATACCAACATTAAGTGAGTTTTAATCAATCTTATAACAAAACTGAGCTCGATAGTAAATTGTAAAATTTGGCTTAAAAACATAACAAGTGCCAAAATGTGTTAAAAACTTAACTTGTTTGGTAACAAGTTAATCTCGAAAGAGCTTTTAAGGATCGAAACATGAGTCTAGTTCGAGTAACATAATTGGACACATTTTCAATACCCTACCAATCAAAACTACTGAATAGTCAAGTTCAAATATTTTACCTGCAGTGCAAGAAAGTGATCCAAATACAGAACTATACACATAACACACATACACAACAAATCATATACTAGCTCTGAAAGGTGACATAACTGACATCAGGGCTCAAGCATGAATATAAAAATAAAAAAGAGCATATTTTCTTTACCTTTTTCTTGATTTGAATTTGTTAATCATAAATTGAAAGAGATGAGGAAAAAAAAATAATTACAAAATTTTGGCACCAAGAAAAAATGGAAAGCAAAAAAGAAGAAGAAGAAGAAGAAGAAGAAGAAAAACAGGGGTATCCCATTTCCCAAAATTCAAAAACCAAAAAAAAAAAAAAAATTGAAAGAACCCTTGTTATTTAAATTTTATTTCACATTCACGATTAAAAAAAATAAAATGACCACACCATCTCCAAAAATAATGAACAACCAGTAATCTATATATACATGCATATAGGATCATTATCTCAATCCATACATTCCCAAAACAAAAACAAAAAAACAGAGAAAACCCAACTTTTACAAGAGGAAAAAACAACCCTAGTTAGATTTGGATTGTGTGATTGCTGGCATTCATCATGCATGGCTACAAGAGACAGAGAGAGAGAACTCACCATTGTTTTTGGAAATTTGGGTTTGATTCACAGTAGAATCCGAAGAAAACTGAAGAGAGGTGGTTGATAAGAAGAGGCGAAATGCGAGACCCAGTAAGAGAAAACACACAACAAACTTCACAAATACGTGATTGCGCTTGTTAGCCAATGATGAAAACGAAAATGGGTTTGTGGTTTTTAAATCAAACCTCATTTGTTTTCGTGTGTTTTTGTTTTTTGGATTGTACGTAGAGAAGATGAAACCAAATGGAACCAAAAAAACTGTTTTATTTGCAACAAACCAATAAACAAAAAAAAAAAAAAAAGAGTAATAGTTTGTTGGCATGAACAATTAAATCTTGTAACTATTACAATTAAGGGTTTAGTTTAGTTTTGTTTTCAAATTTTTTTTTTTAACGAAAAGTGTGAAAAATTAATTTACTAAATCATTAATGAATTTTTTTTAAAAAAAATTAAAGATACTCCTCATTTTTATATTATTTTGTTTTTTAATAATTTTAAAATTTTCAAAAACATTTTTTAAAGTTTATTTTTCCCAAAATAATTTGCAATATTTTTCAAAAAAATAAATTTTGAAACTTAAACCAAAGATTTGTTTGTTGGTTGTAACATACTAGACGTAATTGATTTGATTTTAAAGCTTAGCAATTTAGGCTTCATTTGGCAATTATGATCGAGGCTAAATTCGTTATTAAAAAATTAATAAGATAAAATATTACATATAAATCATAATTATTTTATTTTTTCTTTCATAAAAGTCAAAAAAAAATTTAAAAAGTCAAACAAAATTAACTTTTTAGTCTCAAGATAAAAAAATCTCAATTTCAAAAAGTCAATTGCATATTTTTTTGCCAAACGACAATTTAAAAAATATCTTAATGCTTAATTGTATGATAAGATAGTACAATTTATCTGAATGGCTTATAAATTATTTTTTTAGAGTCTATTATTTAGTATAATTTTTTTTTATAATTCATTAAGCAAAAAATAACTTAACTAAATTTAAAATTTAATTATCTAAAGATTGAAAAAATATATTTTTTTTTAAGTTTTACTTTCTAATTATAAATTCTTAACCTATCATAAACTGGCAGAATATGCTTGCTTTTCAGCTTGCTTTTAGGGGCCTTGAAACATCGGTTAAAAGTCATAAACTAACTTTTAATTTATTTTAGCTTATATCACTTCTCATATAAAATAATTAAAAAATAAAAAAAAAATCAGTTTTTAACGATTTTAATTGTATCAATAATGTTTTTTTTTTTTTTTTAGAGTGATTCTATTTGCAATCAAATAATAAATTAATATGTCTAATTAAAATTTTAAAAAAATTATTCTTATTATATCCTAATATAAATTTATTAAAAAAGATAATATACATTAAACCTTAAAATAATTTTTTTTCTCACAATACACTCAAATCACATATACATATTCACCATATTTAACTCTCTTCATCTTCTTCTCCAATATTTTCTTTTTATCTTCTTCATCACTTCAAAACTTCAATTCACCCCACCAAAACTCACCATTATCATCAACATCATCATTTCTTATTATGTCGTTACTTATAAATAGAAAAAAATTTGAACAAAATCAAATAATATAAGAGAATAATAATCAAATAAGAAAAGTAATCCTATATTATAGATGACATAGGGGTATTTTAGAAAAATGGTTAGAAGTCATCTTCTAGTTTTTAACCCATTTTGGATCGGAAAATTCTATTTTCACACACTTTTTTGTCTTTATGTACACACTTAATGAAAAAAAAATTATGACAATTTTATCATGAAGCAAAATGACCATAATGAACATCAACACACACTACAAATTAAATATAAATTTTCTCTGTAGATATCTTTAAAAGACAATAATTCTTAATACACATCTTTTAAAAAAAAAAAACAAAAATTAAAACTTAGTTCATACATTGTTTCTCACTTCCTCTATTATTTTCCATTACTTGCTACACTCCATCCATTGCTTGCATAAACTACTCTTATATCAAGTACTGAAAAATTGTAAAACATTTGGCACTACAGAACCGAATTAATTTTAAAAAATTCAAAAATTAAGTATCAAAAATTTATAAATAATTCAGAAGTACATAATTGAAAATGTACAATAATTTTAGAATTTTTTTTCTAATTGGTGAGTGACTTCTTGTTTCTGAATATTTTTTTGATTGATCTTTCAGTTCCTTCAGGTTTCAATGACTGCTAACAACGTCCCCTCTGCCCTAAAAAAAGAACAGGTACTTCATACATATGCAGACACTAATACTATATATGTATGCTTATGAGATAGGCAAAACTATTAACTGGAAAAGATTACTTTTTTGATGCATTTGTGCAGATCTTTGGATTGGCAGAGAAGGAAATGGAGTATAGGGTAGATTTGTTTAACAAGTAGGTGTATCAATCTGTTATATGATTTGATTAGAAATAGCTCTTACTTGTTGGAAGGGTCGTCAATGGAGTTGTGGTTTGTTGCTATAGGTGGGTGTGTGGAAATGTTGAGTCTTTGAAGGATTTGAAACTGTAGAAAGTCTATTTTGGTGGTGTGTGTACAAGATGTGAGTTAAGGATATAATTGAAATACGTGATGTGTAGAATAAGAACAATAACTTATAATTAAATTCATAAATGTGTGCATTGAGATATAATGTGCATTGAAATAAAAAGGTGTGTGGAAATAGAATTATTTTTTTTTTTTGGTCACATCACCTCTCATATTTTTTACACATTTTTTCAAAAAAAAAAAAAATTTAAAAAGTTTAAAAAATGAACTTTTAGCCAATACGTACCTATAATTAGGGGTCTTTTGAGAAGTGGGTTATAATCCACTTCCCAGATTATAACCCACTTCTTTCTCTCACAAAAAACTGATTATAATCAACTTTTAACTAAAAAGCTGATTGAAACCATCTTTTTAAAATAGCAATAAAGAATTGAGAGAGAGAGAGTGTGCTCACTTCTATAGGGTAACGGAATTGTTTCAAACCCCCCACTGGGATAACCTCCAGGACCCAGTGGAGTCTGATTGGCTAGCAATTATTTTATTTTATTTTTTTTCCTTCCAATAACCAAGCCCCATGTGGTGTGGGGTTGGGGGGCAACTGGGGTTCCCAATCACGATTCATAGGGTAAATACAGGATTTTCCATATTCACATCAGTTTCAGCCAGAGTTTTTCAAACTCATGCCAATTCAATTCTAGAACAACCCCTCATTTCATTTGTATGTTTCTTGCTAATTTCCATTTCAATAGGGCAACTGAGTTCATCATATATAAGCTAAAAGAGATAGGAAAGATCAACAAAGAAGATATTTCACTTGTAATTGAAGAGTTTGAAGATTAAAGTGGTGTAATTTAGGATTATTTATTTATTTATTATTTAAGTGCATCTTGAAGGATAATTTGAAAAAAAAGAATAAGATGTATTGAAAATAAATTATAATTTTAAATAATTTAATAAAATATATTAAAAAATTAAGCGTACTTAATATTTTTTTAATTGCAAATAGAATCCCTCTATCTTTTACCATAGGAGAATTGTTATTTAATGAGGGTAAGAAATTAAAGTCAGACACGTCCCTGTTAATGGATTACACTGCCCCCTGGGCGTCTTATTTTAATAATTTAGGATTATTTATTTATTTATTATTAAAGTGCATCTTGAAGGATAATTTGAAAAAAAAAGAATCAGATGTATTAAAAATAAATTATAATTTTAAATAATTTAACAAAATATATTAAAAAATTAAACCTACTTAATATTTTTTTAATTGCAAATAGAATCCCTCTATCTTTTACCATAGGAGAATTGTTATTTAATGAGGGTAAGAAATTAAAGTCAGACATGTCCCTGTTAATGGATTACACTGCCCCCTGGGCGTCTTATTTTAATAATTTAGGATTATTTATTTATTTATTATTAAAGTGCATCTTGAAGGATAATTTGAAAAAAAAGAATAAGATGTATTGAAAATAAATTATAATTTTAAATAATTTAATAAAATATATTAAAAAATTAAGCGTACTTAATATTTTTTTAATTGCAAATAGAATCCCTCTATCTTTTACCATAGGAGAATTGTTATTTAATGAGGGTAAGAAATTAAAGTCAGACATGTCCCTGTTAATGGATTACACTGCCCCTTGGGTGTCTTATTTTAATAATTTAAATAATTATCTTTTTTTTTTCAAAATTAGGTTTTTTTTTTTTTGAAAAATTTAATTTTTTTGATAGTATAATTTTTATTCTTCAAAAATATCAATTTTCCCAAACTATCATTTAGTAGTACAATTATCACACTTTAAAAATATTAATATTAATGAATTTTATAGAAGAACAAAATTAAAAAAAAAAAAATCATATTATTTTAATGCTTAATTTTTAAAAAGGGACTAATATTTTGAGACAATAAAAAATAGAATAAAGCATTAATATTTTGAGACGAAAGGAATATTTTGTAAGGTATCCTATCTATCTCACCTATAAATAAAAATAAAAATAAATTGGATTAATTCAATAAGTATAACTTTTTCATTTTATCATATTTGTCTCTAAAACCATAAATAGCCTATTTTCAAAGATTTGTCGAATGGATGACCTTTATTATAGAACCTACAAAGTAAACGGTTCAGATCATCAATTGATGTCCGAATTTAGAAACAAAAAAAAAATAAAAAATAGATGAATATGGAGAGATACAAATATAGAAGGGAGCTTAGCCCTTTAAAAATTTAATACTTTTTAAGTGTAATAATTGCACTATCAAAAAGGTTGAATTTTCCTAAAGGAACTAATATTTTGAGCCGGATGGAGTTCGTTTTTATAGTTGAAAGTCAAAATGTTCGTTTTTATAGTTGAAAGTCAAAATGTATACAGTTCGTTTTTATAGTTGAAAGTCAAAATGTATACGTTTATAGATGAGGGGATAAAACAATATTAACTAATAATTGAGGGGTCTTAGTGTAATTAACCCTTGTATATATTATTGAAAAGGAAAGGACAACATAGTAAAATTTTTATATATGGGGGCAGGGCAGCTATCCAGTGGATAAAAGAAAATATGCCATTTGTTCTCAATCTCTTGCACTCAGATCCTTTGGCCCTGTCTGGTAGAACTGTGAGAAAGTAATTATAACTTATACCTTAACAGTTTATAACTTATAACTATGAACATAAGCTGATTTTTGACTTATAAATTAAACTTCTCCTCCCCCACTCAAAGAACAAGTTTACTTTTGACTTACAAAAAGTTATAAATTATATTGTTAAACTAAATCAAACACATCAAAATAGTTTAAATTAAACTAAAAACTGAAATAAGCCAAACAGCACCTTTGTCTGAAAGGGAACAAAGTTACTTCCATTCACATGCCCCCTATCCTCCTCACTCCTTTGCCTTGATCTCAAGAGTCGATAGAGATATCTATTAAACACAGCTGCCTATTAACACCATCTCTCTCTTTGCTTTTTACTGGTTAAGGTGCATCCATGGCTTTAGGGGGAAATGTCATAATATCAATATCAATATCAATATCAATATCAATCTCTCTCTCTCTCTCTCTCACTCTCACTCTCACTCTCTCTCTCTCTCTAGATGTATAAATTGGGCAAATCTAGCAAAGTATAATAGGGATAAAGATCAATATAGTCACACTTGGGTGAAAAATTACATGTTTACATATACAGGTACAGAATATGGCACTAATCACTTGCAACATTTTGACAGACCAAACCAATCAATCAAACATGAAATTCCTTGACAAACGGACGGTTTTGAGACATCGATGACATACCAACAATCCAATATCTTCTTCTCATTATTTCCAAAATGCAAGAAAAAACTTGTTCAAATTTTCTTCCAATAAGTTTGTCAGGACGGGTACCGTTTCAACCTTCAAGATCATTCACACATTTGAAGCAATGGAGGGAGTGTGTATTCGCTAACATATAATGCGCTTATGCAGCTACTCTTGGAACTTTCATGCCAAATCCACGTTTCACCTTCTCGACTCTGTTCCACACACAAAAAAAAAAAAATTTATAGCTAAATGATCATTGAAAACACATTAATCTGTGCTATAAAAAGATTCAACATCTTCATTTTCTGTAGCATCAAGATCCACAATTTTTTCGCATGAAATGTAGTCATAAGCAATGATGGAAAAGGATATATTATTGAAAAATATAAGTTGATTAATTGCTTCTCAGTCCCTTGTTAATATATCAAGATTTCAGATTCAAACCTAAAGCAGTGATGCTTTCACTTTTAAGCCTCATTTCAGCAGACCTATAATCTATTCTAGTCCACAACTTAATGTTCACTGCCCCTCAATTCCCATTTAACATTGTTCTCAGCTATGTTGCCTGGAAGGTGGATTGTTCCAGTACATAGAACGCGGTACATCACATTCTCTAAAATGTGGCATGTTAGAAGTAGACTTATGTAGCTCATGATATTAGCATTTAAGGTATGTGCAGAGTAATTTTCTATAAACAGTTAGACATCCAACAAAATGTACATTTTTTTTCAAATTAATGTGTAACAACATATTTCCATGAGTATTATGACCCATCTTTATGTTTCATTCTACCCAAACCCCACGCTACCTAGATTTTAGTTCATGCCTTTTGGTTTTCTTTCAACCTTTATGGATGATCAATAAAAAAAAGGAAATATATTGGATTGCTTTGGATCGCTAAATTAGTGAAAAGATGCGATACTGTAACGGTAGATGGGAGTGTTAGGAGACAGGTAGGCCTAAATTAATGTTGGCTAACGTGATAAATAGAGATATAGATCTACTTAATTTGACAAACAAATGACCTTTGATAGGGCTGCGTGGAGAATAAGAATTCATGCAACCGACCACATTTGATGGGACTTAAGGCTTGGTTTGGTTTGATTTGGTTTGGTTTGGATCGCTAAATTCACCATTTTGAAACTAAAATGTAATGTAACCATGTTTCGAAACAAGCATTTGAAAATGTAAATTGCCAAGGTATTAACATTTTCTGGTACCGTTGGCTCCCAATATCCTACTACTCTTATCTTCTCGTGAACCCCAAAAAAAAACCCCGAAGTCATGTCTCCCATTTAGAGTTTCGAAGCTGTCCTAGTCACATGAATTAGGCAGGTTATAAATCATAGTGGACGGGGAAAAATCTTTATGCAATTGATAAAAGCATTCCACTAATTCCAATAAACAAAATGGAATAATTAAGGAAATCATCTGTGAAAAGTGGGCCTTACGTCGGGGCAAGTTTGCCAAGGCTATCGAGCTCTTCACCTGAATCCTCATCAACGACTTTTCCACAAATCTCAACTATGTAAGATCCATCTTTAGTAGTTGGGAGGCCTCTACTACTTAGCAGTCGTAAATCTTGTTGATGGAGCTCTCTTCCATTCACAAAGACACTAGTATTTCCACCAGCACAATTCTCAGGCATCGGATAATTGAATTCTTCAATAAATGGCTGCAAAAAAAAATAAAAATAAAAAAATAAATATGAAATTGCCTCAGTAATATACTTGGGAGTATAAGTGATCACTAAATATCAGTGGTTGGATAATTTTGCATCAGAATTAGTTGATCTTACAGGAATTATGCCGAGACAGGGCCCACCCATTACACCCCAGAAACCAGCTCGGAAATCATACCTGATAAAGGCAAATATAGAAAGGAAAAAAAAAACATATTAGTACCTTCAAGAATAAAAAACTTATCAGAACACAATTATAAAGAAAAATATCAAAATTTTATTTATGAAATTCATTCACAAGCCTTGATTCCAATCATAACAGAATATATGTAAATCAGACAAGGTTTTATGAATTGAATAAAAAAAGAGTTCACAATTACTGCAGATTGTGCGAGAGAATCATATGTACTTACCAGTATTGTCCAGGATGGATTGGTCCAGCTAGCTTTTCAGCCTTTTTTAGCAAACGATCCGATATAGAATGTCCATTAATTGTGACATTAGTTGCTCCTTGCTCAATGTTCTGATTTGATCTAGAAAAGTCTCTAAAGCCCCTCTTCATGATTCCAGCAAAGAATGATTGACCCCCTTTGCCGGCTCTCAGTTGATCTTCAACTCTGCTTGCATCCCCCGATTCTTGGGATGTCACAGTATTCGAGTACTCATTGAACGACACATCGATCTCCGTTGCAAGTGATGCATCTTTCATTGAATTTTGCCGCGCCGTAGACACTTTTGGCTCCCCCTTTTCACATTCTGAACGCCCACTTTGGTTTCCCTTTCCAAATCGTTTCACTCCATTGAATATATTAGCGTAATCAAAATGATCTTGCACGGGTGAACCAGCAGCCGGTGGAGACGTAATTGGAATCGCTGCCAGCTCAGTAGATTTGGACTCCTCTCCTCGGACATTCAAACTTCCCGGGCTATCCTCATCCTCAGAAGAATAGGGAGATGTAGAGTGATGACTTCTCATCTCTTCGGACTTGCCCGTTGATGACAAAATTACTTCCCTATCCACTGACTGAAAATCATAACCAGATTTATCATAATCATCAGAGGAAAAATGCGAAGTACCACCACTCACTGTCATGTTAGGCCGATCATCATCCATCTTGGGAGTTCTCTTTGTCTCTCCACAAACAGAAACAACAAGTTTCTTGTTGACAACTGCAAAAAAGACGACTGCAGAGCACGCACCACATCGCACTTTCTTTTGATTTTTCTCTGTAAGCACAATTTTCTTAGGCAATTGCAGCAATTCAAAACAGTTGTAGCAAGTAACAAATGGAGCACCACCAGCTATGGGGCGGCACTGCCTTCCACCAGTGGTTAAAACCACCTTTGGAGGATGGCGACGACCAAAGCCACCCAATTCAGAGTTAAGGTCATTAGGCCATCTTGTGTGGGATTGGGGATTATTGGAGTTTAATGGAGGAGGATTGGCAAATGCACTAGGATTTTCATGATGGTAGAACATAGGTTTGTTTGGCACATCAGAAAACATTTTGCTGCGAAAAGCATCACGTGGGACTTGACCCGGATCTTGTGGGGGATGTTTGTTGTAGCAATGAAAACAAGAGCAAGAAGGGTTGTGAAGGTTCATATTTGACATGTATGGTTCATATGGATCCATACCCATATTCATGTAATTTCTAGAGAAATAAGTATGAGATGGCGGATGTTGAAAAGGATCGGGCAATTGGTGTGGAGCTCTTCTAAGCATTTGGGACCTTAAAGGATCCCCAAATCTTTGGAGTTGATCTGCACCATTGGTTGAATGATAAAACCTATGCATATCCATTTCATGCCTATTCATATAAGGTGATGGCTCGGGGTAATGGCTCGGATATGAAGCCCTAGTCGATCCCCATGAGCCATCAGGAAACCAAGTTTCTGAACCACCATATGATTCCCCAGGCAGCTTGTCTTGGTGAACCGACCCCCGGTTTAGGGGAACCTTTTCTTTAGGTTTGTTGTTAACATCACAACTCCGACTAATTTGATCTTTCAATTCATCCAACTTCCTCAAAAGCTCAGCTCGGTCTTGTTCAAGGTACTCAACCTTATTAAACTCATCAGGTTTGTTTTGATACTTCACTGGTTCTCCATACCCATAACTAGACCTAAAATGATAATTCGAAGGACCGGCTTCAACATCCCTCCTAGGGTTTCTCCAAAACCCCTCGCTCCCACCTCCCTCCCCGCTCCTCCAATCAGAAACCCGTTCTGATCTTCGTGACCTAAATGCAATCCCATTTGGGGGTTTTGATTCCTCAAATTGTTTACTCATTTCAGCATTACTAGATTCATCTATTTTCTCATTCACCTCGAGATCATTACTCAAAACCATTCTCTTATGAGTTCTTCTAGAAGAAATACCACTGGATTTAACACCATTCTCAGACCCATCACTCAAGTCCATCATCCCTTTCTCGGAAAATTTTAAATTGTCTGATTTCTCGGAAAATTTCACAGAAACACCTTCAACCCTTTCTTCTTCAGACTTTTCTGACAATGTATCCGCCTCAACATTTTTATTTTTCGCTGTAAATCACAACACATTTACAAAAATAAAATCAATAGAGAACTACTAAAGAAACAGAGTGTACAGGGTATCCATGTTTGGTTACCGAGAAAACCCAGAAAAAGAAATTACAAAATCGAAACTCTAAGATTTCGCTGTTTAGTACCCAATAAGCAAGTAAGCATAACAAAAACAAAAACAAAAACAAAATCAAAATGTAGTCAAACATAGAATACGAGAAATGAAGCATGATGTGTATTGGGATAATTTCTATTTTCTTTTTGCCGCGAACCAAACAGAAAGTATGAGAGAGAGAGAGAGAGGGGGTTGAGATTGACCTCGAAGAACAGCACCGCAACCACCGCACTGATAAACAGAGTAATCTGCGAGCTCTGGAAGGAGATTTTCGCACTTTGGGCAACGAACCAATCGAACTTTTGACTGATCAGACATTGCAGAAACCCAAATTATGTTTATACGTGTGTGTGTGCGTGTGAAGATGAGAGAAGAAAAGCTTAATTGTTAGGGAAGAACAGTTCAACCCAGAAATGTATGGCTGATTTAGTCTGAAACAAACGAGTTGTGAAAGAAAGAGAGTCGTTGTTTGTGGGGTTAGAGAGAGAGAGAGAGAGTATGTGTAGTTTCTGAAGCAGAACATGACACAACAATCTTTTTCAACATTACACAAACAAAAACCATAAGAGAAGAAGAAAAAGAAAAAGAAAGGAAAGTGAAAGGTGTCCGCTTTGCCTTTTTCTTCGGTTCACTTTTTAGAGAGAGAGAGAGAGAGAGAAGGGAATGTGGATTGGGTCCAATTTGTAGACTGGGTCGGGTAATTCTCAGTTTTATTTTGTTAATTTGATTTCTTTATTTTTTATGTATTTATGATCTATATAAAAATTAAAAGTTCCTTTGGGACCGTGGCAGAGTTAGAAATTTAATTTAGAGTAGATATTTATTAATTATAATAATTTTTATAAAAAATATTTTACGTAAATTTTTTATGATTGATTTCAGGAAGCGTAAAAAAAAATATTATTTATAACTAGTGTATCATGGATAATACCAAAAAAAATATGGATGTAAGCCTTAAAATAAATTATATAATGATAAATTTTTTTTGATACAAATTTTGATTAAAAATTCAATATAATGGTAATACCATGTCATCATTGGTATGTAATATCACCCACTAATGGTAAATAAATGCATAAAAAGTAAACCTCACATGTCAAATGTAACTAACAATCTAATAAATTTCATATCTTTATAGTGAGATTACTTATACTTGTATATCACTAATAATGATATCGTCGTTACATTCAAAAAATTTCAAAGCTAATATAGTTTATTTATAATAGTCTCTTCATTTTCAATCAATACAACCATTATTGTTTTCATAATTTTTAAAATGTCATTGACATTTCACTCTAATAATATTTTTGTAATTTTTTATTTAAATTTTTTTTTATGTTTGCAAAAAAAAAAAAAAAATTCCAAAATCCAAGGGGGGCACGTGACTTCCCTGGTCACATGCTGCCTCCACCCCTGTTTTGGGAATAATCTTTTTATCTTATTTTGACTTTTTAAGTTAATTTTAGTATGGCTTAATTAGCTCGGAAGAACTTTTTACTAACCCAGGGGTGAGTGGCAACCTGGTAAGGGCCTGGGGTTTAAGCCCCTAAGTCCTGGGTTCAACTCCCCTCTGAGCCAATCTCTTGAGCGTAGCACAGTTGGTTAGGAGATTGACCTCAAGGATGCCTTATCAGCTACTTGGTGTGGGTTTAATTCTCTCCCGCTGTGCGAGTCTTGACTTAAGCGGAGCTTGCCTTGGGAGGTCGGGACAAGCTTCCAGGTTATAGTCTCTTACTCGGAACGGACAACAGGACACCATGATGATCTCCTCAAGGGACGCTGCCTTGACTTAAGCGGAGCTTGCCTTGGGAGGTCGGGACAAGCTTCCAGGTTATAGTCTCTTACTCGGAACGGACAACAGGACACCATGATGATCTCCTCAAGGGACGCTGCCTTGACTTAAGCGGAGCTTGCCTTGGGAGGTCGGGACAAGCTTCTAGGTTATAGTCTCTTACTCGGAACGGATAACAGGACACCCTGGTGATCTCCTCAAGGGGCACTGCCTTGGACCTGCGGGAGAGTGGGAGGATTTTCCTGTAACCAAAAAAAAAAAAATTTTTGACTTGTGTGACTTTGAGACCTTGTGTATTTTTGTTTCATTCAATTTTTTTTCTTATTTTCCTTTTCCTCAACAAATAAAAAACATAATTGAATATATAATATATATATATATATATATATATATATATATATATATTTTAATTTCTTCTTTACAATATTTTGAAAAGTTATTTGATGGTCCTAGTTTTGGCTAAGTGGCATCTCAAAAGTATTGTGATTAATGGAATAAATAGAATTCATAATTGATGAAAACTAACATAACATTTGATAATTGGGAGGAATGTTATCTTAGGATAGCCTAATAATGTAAAATGTAAGTCTAATTCATCATAATTTTTTTTAATTCATTTGATTCATCAAAATTAAAAATTATAAAAGTCATTATTGAATATATGATATATATATTTTTAATATCTTTTTTATAATATTTTAAAAAGTTATTTGATGGTCCTAGTTTTGGTTAAGTGATATTTTAAAAATATTATGATTGGTTGAAGAGATAGAACACGTGATTTAATATTAAGTGATAAAAAATAACATAATAATAATGGATAGAAATGTTACCTCAAGATAACCTAATAATTATTTAGAATATTCTATGTGAATTAGTCTCGGACAATTCTTTATTCTGACTTTATTTATTCTGACTTTATGACTAAAAAGTCTTTTCGGTAAATATTATTATATTAAATGAGTATACTAGTATACGTATGTATGTACTATGGTCACTAATGTACTGTATGTATGTATACATGATTGATTGTTAATGTTTAGCAAACCTTCTCAACAGTCCCCCAACGACTGCCTCCCCAAAGTCCAACCCAGGTGGGCCCACATCACTTCATTATTATCACTATTTCGAAAAAAAAATGTTTAATATCTGGAATTTAAATTTTTTTTAAATGATTTGAATTTATGGATATCGATCAACTATTTTGTCTAAATGGCCGGTACAATACTTATGTATCACAATTACCACTTTTATCGATCGTAATTGTCACCTTGTTACCGAACGATCAATAAGTCAAAACTCGAGTAATTCGGACAAACTTAAATTCGAAATACGTAAAATTGTTGTCATTGAAAAAATTACAAATTAATAGTAATACCACAAAGGAAAATGCTATTATACATCTTTTCAAAGGGGTGTATCATACACATTATAGTTATGTTATTTTCTGTTTTAATTATAATCAATTTTCTTTTTTAATTGTAACATTATTTTAGTTAAGACATTTGATTATGCCTCATATGAGGTTTAATTATGACTTTTTTTTTTTTTGATGACTCAAAAAGTATAAAATTATACTATTTTCTTTTTGAGTAATATGTACCATATAGTCTTTTCCTACTGTAAAATATTTACAAATTCTTGAAAAAATTTATAACTTTAATTATTAAAATTGATAAATTTTTTCATTCGTTTGTCATTTAGGAGAATTTGGTCAAAACCTCTCATAATAAAACTTTAATGTATTAAGATAAGTACAAAAAGTTTTTGTTGAAAAGTCTAATACAACCACTATCATCAAAATATTAAACTTTAAAATAATATAACTTTTGATTTAGATCTCGATTTTTAATAAAATTAGTATTTTTAGAATTCTCTCGTTAATATCTATTAAATAAGATTTATGTTGATTATGAATTTTTTTTATAAAATTATTACTGTTGAAATTGATATAAATAGTAACACGTTACTCTGTTTAACAGTAACATGTTACTCTGGTTGAAATTACATGTTATTCTGATTCACAATAACATGTTACTTTGACAATATTGTTCAAGAAAAAAAAATATATTTTACTTTATCTTTACTCAATTATCCATCACCTCCTTAAGAGGTTTATGGAATAAAATAAATTAAATTGTCATTTTCAAATTTTCACCAAATAAGAGTCTAATTGAAAAAATTCCGCTAAATTTCCCTTTTTAAAGCTTGCATTGCAGTGAAATTTCTCCTTATTCACTACTTTCTTTCTTTATTAAGTAAATTACAAAAATATCCCTTCAAATTTATAAAATAAAAAATGTTACATACTAACACTTTTAGATACACACTCTCTCACCTATAATGATATGGCAAAGGAGTTGGGTTTTATGTCATTAAGTTTATACCAGATCAATGGTTGAAATGTAGCACATAATTGTGGATCTAAAACATTTTTGTTATTAAAAATATGGGTTTGTTTAGTTTGGTTTAGTTTAGTTTGGTTTAGTTTAGTTTTCAAATCAATTTTTGAGAGTTCAAAACTTAAAATTTGTTTGCTTTATAATTTTTTGCAAAACTGTTTTCAATCTTTTTTTTTCTTGTCTCTTCTCTCTATCTATCACATCTTACACATCAATTAACCACCTCAATGTTTCTAAAACATTTTTCTTATTAAAAATATAGGCTCATTTGGTTTAGTTTAGTTTTCAAATTAATTTTTGAGTGTTAAAAACTCAAAATTTGTTTACTTTATAATTTTTTCAAAACTGTTTTCAATTATTTTTTTTTAATCTATTTTCTTCGTCTCTGACATCCTACACATCAATCAACCACTTTTTTTTTTTTTTTTCTCACACCATCTATTTAACTACAAAAAAATTACAAAACTCAAACTACAAAATTAAAAAACTATTTTCAAAATATACAACTAAACAAATTTTTAAATTTTGAAAACGCTTTTCAAAACTGATCTTTCAAATTTGATTTCAAAATCAAATCAAACAATCCATAAATTTTTTCTTCACATTTGAAAAATTGCATCTTTTATAACAAATTGATTCATGCATTAATCAATCATTAAGAGGTTGTTTGAAATGATCTAAATAAGTATACTTTTTAATTTATTACGAAAAGATGTGCAGAAAAGTATAGAGATAATGTGATCAAAATAAGTACACTTATTTAAATAAATATACTTATTTAATTTATATCAAATAGTGCTTAAGTCAAATAAACAAATATATGACATAAGTAATATATATTTTTAGAATAAATATATTAATATTTATGAAGTTAATTATACATCCTTTTTTTTTTCCTTGTTATTTTACCTTTCTTATTTATTTTTTTTTTTTTACAATAACACAACTTTGTCAAAATCATCGTATCACCCAATGTTTTAAAAACCAGTTTGATAAGCGAACCGAAAAAGTAATCGAGTAGATGAGTCACTGATTCAATCGTGAATAAATCTGATGTCATAATTATGTCATAAATATATTAAAATTTATAAGTATAAAAAATATAGATATTAAAATTACAAAAATTAATAAATAATAAACATTTACAAAAAAATTATTCCTTAAAATTTATTTTATGTTTTTTATACATTGATTTTTAGTAAGAATAATTCACATAATATTTAATATAAAATATATATACTTATTACACTGTCAATAATTGTGTTGATGACTTAATGGTTTGAATACTTACTTTTTATGTACTTGGTTCCATGTTTAAACTCTCTCCACAACATATTTTTGAAAGAAATTTTAATTCTTCAAACCCGACCAATTCGTATTTTGACCTGTGACCGGTTCACCGATTATTTTGGTTGAACTGACGATTCTTCCGGTTTTCAAA